TATATATATACATACATATGCACATTATGTATACCTTTATAAAAATTAGATATGGTTAAATATCACTGTGAAGATTTGTAAGCCATATTTCAAAATATTAACATTTTAGTGAAGTCATATATTAAAAGGAAAACTAGATGTACCCAACAAAAGATAACCTGGGTAAAGTTTGTGCTCTCTCATATCTTTGGGAGAGGTCTTAGTTTAAAATAATCAGTAATTCCTCGAAGCAGAAAAAAATCATTGGTCTGTTAATGCCTTGAACACTGGTCATTATTAATATTCAGTAATAGCAGCTAATAAATTTTATGTATAAAAATATTCACACATTTAGATAAAATCTCTAAATAGTTATGAAATGATTTTTATCTGTGGAAAGAAGAGAAAGAAAGAGAATAGTTGTTTCAGGGCAGGTAAGTATTACAAGAGGACCACAGAGTGCATTTTATAGACATAGCATTGAATTATATTTTGATTCTGAAGTTGTTTGAACGAAGTTGCCTTAGGTGGATAACAACTACCTATCACAAGAGGGGCTGGACAGAGAAAAATCACGCCTGAGTTTAAGTTTTATCTCTTCACTTAAGGGCTACTGCATAGATTTCAAGTGACTGTGTGATTGTGGATATGATGCTGACAATGTCAAGTTGCTGATTTAAATCTACTCATATGACTTGAATTCAAATCCTCACAGATATTCTATATGACACCCACTGAACCAGGCCAATCATTTAAGAAATCGCAGCTCTAGTACTAATATAATAACAACATCATCAATATTCCTTCTTCACCTTTTCAACTTGACCTCAGTCCTACTTAATGCTTCCAGTCAGTTCTACAATTAAAACCTATAGTGAATGTTTAAATACAAATAAACAAGTTATGACAATATGTAAAAAAATACAGTGCCATTAATCTCCCTCAAATACTTTCCTTGCTTTGAACACACTTATCTCATCACTCTCTCCACTTTCAGAAGAAGTTCTAGAAGTCCTCATCTATATCTTTTCATGGCTGCCTTGATGCTATGAATCAATTCAAAACATTTATGACAATTTCTGTCAAACAAAAACATTACAGGGTGTCCTCATCCACCTTCTTCAGTGAATCTGCAACTGTGAAACTTCTGGCTCTTCCCCAAAGTCAAAATTAACATAAATGTTTGAATAGATTCAGGTCAGCACTCCAGCCACTGAAGCAAAACTGAAGGCAGTCACGAAAGAGGACTTCCAGAACTGAGATAAGTTTGTTCAAAGGGAGGAAGGCCATTTGAGGAGAACTGATGCCAATGTGCTCTTGACTATAACAAATTTTAAAACTTGGTTAACATACTCACTGTATTTTTTGATTCTGCTTCATACAGTTACAATCATCATGCTCAAAAACATAATAGAGTAGTCAATAATATTTAAACTTTATTTTGTGGCACTTTAAGGATTATAAGGTTCCTGGGAGGCCTGTGGAAACTCTCTTTTCCTCACACCAACTTCAACCAGAATTATCATACTTTAATCTGCTTTACCTATTAGATGAAAGTTCAATTAGATTAAAAATTCCCAAACTAAAGTAATAGAGAATAATTATAGAAATATTACACTGAGCCTTGCTTGCCTCTTTGCAAATTTTAAAGCTACCCTGGCCAACTCATTCAACTTTTTCCTGAGTCTCTAACAGTTCCTCGCTGCCTCTTCATCTATACTTTGTACCATTCCTATTCCACACTGACTTTCCCTCCAACTTTCTAAACCACTGATAATTTCCTAGACATTATCAGATCACAGTCTGCACCTGCTAGTCTTTCTTCCTGGAATGCTAGAACAAATTTCATTGCCCTTATCACCGATTGATCTCGTAAACTGGACAAACTTCTATTTACACATTCTGACTTTACTCAAATTGCGTCTTCCTGGATTATACAACCTATCTCGACAGAGCTAGTGCTCCCTGCTCTATGGACCTACACAATAGGTACAGCCTGCTATTTAAACTAGTCTGCAACAGTTTGAGAAATATTTATTTCCACTATGAGGCATAAAGAGAAATGATGATATTCACACCTGAATTTCATCCCTCATGAACCTGTGATGAACATCTTTCCTTGTGTTAAAACTCATGCCTGCATGGTAGGTTCCACAGGCTAAATTTAGTTTCCTAAGTTCAGCAGTAACTTTTTCTGTCATTTTTCTGGAAGAACAATAGATGATAGTTGGACCTTCAAATTCCCATTCAGAACTACAAAGAAGAAAGAACAAGAGAACAAACATAAATATTATATATACGCTTTAGACCAGTTTGAGTTTTCTTACTGAACTTTCCCTTTGTGTTTTTTGTTTCTGTTTTTGTTTTAGGATTGTACCCAGAGTCTCTGCATTCAGTTACATCCCTAGCCCATTCTTTCTTTCTTTTTTTTTCTTGGAGAGAGGGTTTTTTCTGAGTTCCCCAGGTAGGACTTGAACTTGTTGTGATCCTCATGCCTCGGCTACCCAAAGTCCTGGAATCACAGACCTATGTCACCATGTTACACTCGCGTTTCCTTTCTACTTTTTAAATAAAAGACTAGAAGAAAAAAGCATATAAAATGATATATTTATCTCCATAAAAATCTAAAATATTATGGAGAGTCAAATGTGGAAATGAATTGGTTAAGCTCCAAAAACTTTGGACTTAAGTTTTTGTTCAAATTAAAGTTAAAACTGGCAAGAAGTTTTAGAATAAAATCTAATATATATAAAAGAAAAAAATATATAAATACTTGTGCGAAGGCATTCACTAGACTAACAAACTAGTCTTGATGTACATAAGACTGACAAATTTATATTTGCATAGCAGAATGCATAAATTTTGTTACATTAGTCTTATTCTATGATTATAAAGTTAAGTTTCTACAGCTATTTACACAAAATCAAGACTTCTCTTACAAGAAAGATAGTTTTTATAATTCAAAAGAGTATTTACTAATAAACTTGACACTATAAATGTTATAAAAGATATGTTAGAATGTCTACTATAGAAACTTGTGATTTCTACTAAAAGTATAAACAATGATTTTCACAGGGAATTTAATACTTCAATAATTAATTTACATAAATATACTCAGTTATAGTGCCAACATAAAAAGACTACATGAGTTCAGAATGAAAAGTTAATTATAAATGCATGTAACTGTTGAACCAATTTCAATTTTAGGAATTTACTTTACAAAAAATACTTGCCTATATGACAAAAAATGTACACAAATATTCAAAACAAAACTATTATACCGAAAAATAAATGTTCATCAATATGTACATTCATACTCTGAAATACTAAGTAAATATTTAAAAAGTTAAATGTTTATAAAAACCTTTAAGAAGGACAATGGCATAAGCCACTAAAAATTTGAAGAGAGAAGTAAATTAGGCAATATTTTTATTGCCAAGAGTCTCACTGAATAGTCTACTCAATCCAAGTTTTGACTGTGACCAAATGGGCTTCTATAATAAATATTTACAGTAAACAACTTAAGGGAATGAAAAAAATTACATTTTTAAGTGTATAAAAATCTTATTTTTAAAATGTTTTCAAAGAAGAAAAAACTGCTTACCAATATCCGAATACTGTAATTAGTAAGGCCTTAATTTAAGAAAATATAAGAAAAGACAGCAAAAACACATAAATTAACTAATACATTAAATTAATACATTAAATGAAAACAGAAAATGGATATAGTATAAAATTATAGTATATAAATTTAACAACAAAAGAAAATTGAGAGTGCACAACACAGTAAGAGAATCAGAAAACAAAACTTTAGACAGCTAAATGCCAAAATACCATTAGTGGTTATAACTGATCAATGTGACTGGAAGATTGAAGTACTTTTCAATGTATTTGCATCTACACTGTTCAAATTGATATTGAGACTTTTACTATGACTACAGAAACAAGATAAGATTAGTTTAAGAAACATTTTAATTAACAGGAAAAATAAGCATACTGATAAATGACAGAATGAAACAAAGAGGAGAAAATGGAAATAAAAGGCAATAATACTCTGAAGCCTTAATTACTCTCACTTCATAACCTAAGATCTATAGAAAGCATTCTATTCTCAACTGTTGCTTGCTATGATAACTCTGCGGATGATTGAAAATGGGTACAAAATCTTTCTTGATCTGCTTTTACAAAATCCATTTCGTATCAAAGATCAAAATCTTGAATGGTCTCAAATATTAGGGAAAGGAGTCTGGTCTTCATCCTTCAGGAAAGTTTCAGAAAGGTGCTCTGAGACTTAGGGGAGGATTTTCGGATAGAATGAAATAAAGAGCACAGAGGAGAAGAGAGATCAGTTACAAGAGATTATAATAGAGACGCCTAATCACCCCGCTGCACAGGCAGGTCTGCCCATGCCCTACCGAGGTCCTGAGTCGCACAGAACACGCTGAATCAGCCCGCTGCAGACAGGCAGGTCTATGCACGCCCTACCGAGGTCCTGAGTCGCGCAGAAGACACCGAATCACCTCGCTGCAGACAGGCAGCCACCTGATTCCACACTACAAAGACCGAGAGGACACCAGACCACCAGACCAAGGTACTGAGTCCTACTGTTCCCGGCCCAGAGGTAGGAGCTTCTGAGCCATCATCCCACTGCTCCTGGTCCAGAGGAAGGGGCTTCTCGGTCACCATCCCTCCCGCTGCTCTCAGCCCAGAGGAAAGGGCTTTTGGGCCACCTTCTGTCCCACTGCTCCTGGCCCAGAGGAAGGGGCTTCTGGGCCACCATCCCTCTCACTGCTCCCGGCCCAGAGGGAGGGGCTTATGAGCCACTATCCCACTGCTCCTGGTCCAGAGAAAGGGGTTTACCAGCCACCATCCCTCCCACTGCTCCCAGCCCACAGGAAAGGGCTATCGGGTCACCATCCCTACCGCTGCTCCAGGCCCCAGTCCCACCTCACCCAGCTCAGAGGAGGAAATCTGTGCAGGCGCTAACAGCCACCCGCCCCAGTCAAAATGAGAAAACACGTAAATAAGTCTCAAAACCAGACTTCCAGATC